TGTTCAAAGAAATAAAACACAACCTTGACAATTTTGGCAAGAAAAAGTAACAGAAGTTTTGAGAAAAGAACTATACATCTTCTAGAAACAAAAATTAAAATATATATTCAGTTGATAGACTTAACTCAAAGTAGACACAATAGAAGAGAAAATTAATCGACGGGAACATAATTTCTTCTGATCTATCCAAAATGTAGCATGAAGAAAGAAAAAGAGGAAGCCGCTCAGTGAGCTGCATTAACATGGTGGCTGCCACAATGGGCTCAATGACTGTGAAGACGGTGCAGAAGCAGTCAGTGTTTGTTCTGTTGGACATGAGGTTGCTGTGGGTCAAAGCCGACTCAAGGGCATCTAACAACAAAACAGGAGCCGTTTGGGCCCAGAGTGTACAAATTCAATAAGAAGGCCCAGTTGGTAAGTTAAAATGAAGTAGATGTGATAGGGGAGTGGCAACAAGCGCCTACCAGATCTCAAGCAGTCAACCCTGAACTAAACCCAGATGTCAGCAAGGTCAGAAGGACAACCCTGAACTTTATCAAATGTGTCAATAAAGGCTTTCAACACCAACGACACTTTCTACACCATTTATCATTAAATCTGACAATCTCTGCAGATAGTAAGTGGTACATGAGCCAATACAGAAAATGCTTTCTTAACTGTTTTGAAGATAAGTTACTAAGTCTCAAGATCCGTTCAGCACTTGTGGCTAAAGACAGCCAGGTGCATGACTTGGCCATTTCTGCAGCTTCTGAAGTCCAAAGCCGACTCCCCTCATCTAGAGGAATGGAGCAGCCTGCTGCCTTAGTTCTCTCAGTTCCAGTTGTTCTCCAGGACCAGGGCAAACAAATGGTCCTCATCGCCTCTGCACTGAATTGTCGCGAGCGGCTCTCCAGAGCAGGGCACAGTGGAGCTGCTGTTCCTGGAGCCTCTCACAGACCAGAAGGTCTGCGCGCTGCCTCGGGGTGGGCTCAGTCAGGCAGAACCAGGCACAGAGCACAGTGAGCTCAGTCAGAGAGAAAGTCCCCGAGGTGATGCAGGTCAGCGAACAAACACAAAAGGTACGACTTCTCTGCTCACCACTCAACTCCTGGCTGCCCCTAAGGTATATGGTCCTTACCAAGAGAAAGAGAACAACTTCTGCGATGCCTTCCTTTTGCCGCCTCCACTCCAGACCAGCCAAGTCACTCTGGAGAATTAATTCAAACTCTAAAGTCTATTTCAAAGCAATTGTGTGCAACTTTGGTCTGTTTTTTAAATGTAACCTTGTATTGCCAAAGTTGAGGCTGGCTGTTGATTCAAAAGCAGCTTGCCTTTTATCACTGCTTTAATGTCAAACCCAAAACCCACTGCCATTGAGCTGATAAGTCATAGTGACCCTATAGGACAGAGTAGAACTGCCCTACAGGGTTCCCAAGGCTTTAAATCTTTATGGAAGTAGATTGCTTCATCTTTCTCCTGCAGAGTTAGTGAGTTCAAACCACCGACCATTTCATTAGCAGCCAAATGCTTTAGCCACTATGCCATCACAGCTCCTTTTTAAATTGTTCCGTAATTAAGTTTAAAGACCAAGCAATTCTAGGTCACATCTACCCTTCAGCATTTAACATGGAGGGATTTTTCTGGCTGCATCTTTAAATAAGGTGCTTTTGTGTTTTTACAATTCTACTTCAAAATCTTTGCAAAGAGCCCCAAATTTTCTAGCTATGTGACTGACTACAAGGCCAACTTATATTAGAGAATTCTTGTTCCTTCCCTGGACTTTTTGGGATCCTTGAGGAGCAGTGTTACTCAGGATGGGTGTGATGTAGCCTTCCTGAAGACAGTTCTGTAGGTGAGGATGGGAGCAACCTAAGGCCTCCACTCCTACCCCTGACTGCCCCCTTTCCCAGAGCTCTGGCCAGTGCTCTGCTTCCTACACGGGCCTTTCAAGCATGTAACTCCCCATCTGCAGCAGGTGGATTATTTTACCAGCAACACCTGAGAGAGGTGGGGGCTCAGGAAGATGGAGAGTAACTGACTAGAGCAGCACTGTCCTGGGCAATAGAAGGAGGTCAGCAGGTTTTTTTTTTCTGAGCCTGTTCAGATTTTTTTGGCATCCCTAGTGTCCCCATGTTGATCTTACTTCTCTTCTAGTAGGGCCCACCCAGACTTGCTCTCAAGGCCAATGTGTTCATTTAAGTCCTTTCCCTTTCCTAATTTTCTATCATCTAAATTTACCTGCCCTTTATCTGAAAACCTCAAGGTTTTACAGGCGACTTGATGGTTTGAACCTGGTATCTATTTGCCATGATCAAAACCACCACCATGTTTTTTCATTAATGGAATCCTTTCTCATCTCCAATTACCTCCCGCTCTATCTCTTCTGAACCTGGGGTACTGGCAGTGAGATCCTCATTTAGACTATCATTAAGATAAGAACTTGGGTGGCAGAGGAGCCTGCATTTAAATGTTGGTTCTCACCTCCCCTTGGATGGTCTTCACCTACCATCACACCTGAGCTTTCTCTATTATTGTGTGCCCTGCAGTCAGTTCTACTCATAGCAATCCCGTGTGACGCAGCAGAACTGCTCCATAGGGTTTTCTAGGCTGTAATCTTTATAGGAGCAAATCACCAGATCTTATTCCCCAGAGCTGTTGAGTGGGTTCAAACCAGCTGCCTTTAGGTTAGTAGTTGAGCCCCTAACTGTTGCACTACCAGAGTTCCTTAAAGCCTTCTGTAAACAACCTACAATCAGCTCCACCTAGTTTGCCTCTTTGTTACTCTCTGTTTCCTGTGTGTTATTACTTTTTGTGGTCTCAGCGGGTATTGCCCATGTAACCCACAAAAATATCCACCAGACGTAGGTGACACTCTACAATCCGGCAGATTTGCCCGTGACTGCTCAGTAGGCTGCTGAGAGTGTTCAATTCATTGCTCTGGGTAAAGCTAAGAGAAAGATGAGGACTGAAAGGAGGATTTTGCAAAAGTGAATAAATAGGCAGAGACCAGAATAGGGCACACACCTGGGTTCCGTGCTCCAGCCGCAGGTGCAGCCCAGGTCTCCGATTCCCCATCAGCCCGACCATCCATCCCTAAAACTCTTGGGTCTTCAAAGCCAATGACCTTTCCTCAATGCATGCTACCTCTCAGAGAACTTCAAACCCTGATGTCCAGTCTGGCTCCTTTGTTCCAGGTTATCCTCCCATTGGAGGTGTGATCTACCACACGAGTTTCATGCCTGGATTTGAGCCTGGGTCCTGGCTCTACCACTGTACTCTCAGGCAGGTGACTTAACCTGATTAGGCCTCGGTTTCCTCATGTGTAATACAGGGATAATAATAATGCCTACCCCATTGTATTGTCATGAAGATGAAATGATGTACGATATGTAAAACATGACACTGTCAATGTAACAATGCTACAAAATGGCTTGTTGTATTATTTCCCTGGACCTCCCTTTTCTCTAATACCTTCCTCCACCACAGCTCCTCGGTCTGCAGGTGCCCCCTAGGTTCTATGCTCAGCCTTCTTCTCTCTAGAAATACCCCTTTAGTGACGTCATTAGTGTGACAAGTTCCAGTATCAACTCTATGCTGGTGACCCTGGTGGCCTGGATCCCTCATCCACATTGCTCTCTCCCTTTCCTACTTCAATGTGTCACTGTCACCTCGAATTGAACACATCCTCAGCTAAACCTAATGTCTTCCCCCTTAAGCTGAATCATCTTCCTCTTCATTCATTTATGGTCCTCCGGCCCTTCTAGCCTCTACATATTACTCTCTCCTCCTTCTAATACCTCATTTATTACCAAACCCATTTTTCCTTCAGCTTCCCCCTTTCTCTGCATTCCCACTGCCACCACCATGCAGGCCATCATGACCAGAACAGATCATCAGCACAGCTTGTCGACAGAGCTCCCTTCATTTAAAGGAAGTGCTTCTAACTGGACATAACTGGTTTACAATGAGGGTAAGAGTAAGAGGCAGCACAAGACTGGCTAGGAGGCTCTCAGACTTGAATTCTGTGCAGCACGCTCCCAGGCGCCGAATGCTGGTTGTACACTCCACACCCAACCCTGAATTAGGACAGCTCAACACACACACATATACACATACACAACACACACACACACACACTTCCTGGTGCCGTCTGTTGGGGTGGTGGCATCACTAGCCCACTTGACAATCATGAGCCTCTTCCAGATCCAATTCAGCCCTCCAGCCCACCTCAGACAACATTGTCCACCAGATGGCTCAAGACTCAACAACCTATCCCTTCCTACCTTTGCCACATCTTTCTCGGGCCATCCATATTCTGCCCCACACACACACACTACTCCAGTTCATTTCCACCACTTCCCCTGGTCAGTATGGTCCATTGTCTCAGTATCTTTCCCTGTACTTGCATTCTTTCTGCCACCCTTACCTGAGATGCCTCCAACCCTTTCTATTCTCATCCTATTAATCCTCGAAGGCCCGGGTGGTACCCTGCCCCCCCTTTAACATTATCCTAACTCCCCCATCACACTCGTGCCATCTCGAAACGCCTCATAACCAGTGTCCCTTTGTTGCTCTCCAGTTGTTTTCTGTGTCTTGCTTCGTCTACCCAAATGGACACTAAGCTTGTTAAGGGCAGAGGCCACTCTTGTCTCTAACTGCAGGGCCTGGTACAATGGGAAGTAGCAAACCCCTAGATAAATGCTACTTGATTGATTTCAAAGTTCTTACTGCCCACCATCTGCCCAGTGATGTGGCCCTTCAGAAGAATTTTAGCAGCCAGAACAGGACTGGATGCAGGAAAAAAATGCTGGTGTTAAAATAGCCTTGATGGTGAGTCTCGGGAATAAAGCTGGGTTTGCACCAGCGTGTGAAAAACTGACCACCAAGACGAACTCTTTGTCTTTGTTCACGCTAATGTGCTGCACAGCAGGGGTTGATCTCTTCCTTTGCATAACTCCTGCCATCAACTTACACTCACAAAAATGAAAAACGTCAAGCTAAATCGCGTTGCCTGGCTTTACCTTCTTCCACTTGAGGGAGGTCAGTGCTGTCTCTTAAGTCTTCATCCACCCACGGACGAGCCTCGACCCTGACTTGAGGCTCCCCCTTCTTTTTCGCAATGCTTCTATCATTATTTTTAAAGATCCACACAAGCAAAATGCAGGTCACGGCTACCAAGACTGGAGTCAGAAAATACATGGTCAGGCGTCTGATCATCCCACAGGGCTGTTTAGGCAATTTAAACAAACGGAGGCGGGACCAGAGGGCGCCAGAACAGACCTGAAGCCCAGAGGGGGCGTGGCCGAGAGCTAGGAACCCAGGGCGAGTGCTTTCTGACGCTGTGAGGCCTCAGCCAAGGAGCAAAGATCCCGGGCCTGTGTGTGCAAACAAAGGCCAAACTTTCTAAATGTTTCCACTCGATCTGTATACGATTAGACAACCATCGCCAGGATAGGAGTGAACACTTTAACGCGCGGGATCTTGCTGGCTGTGGAAGAAAGCATTTCGTCTTCCTTCTGTAAAGATTTTCTCTGAGACACCGTGTCTTCAACTTGCCTTAGGCCAGGAATCACCTGCTTAACTTGTTTTTGGAAGAACGGATTTTTAGGCACTAACTCAGATTGGCTTAAAGGATAGGGAGGAGTCCTGGCGCTTTGCATTTTTGAAAAACAGCTTGGTTTTGAAACACTGTCCTAAGGTTGGTTCTGTTTGTTTTAAGGCGACAGAGACAAGACGTTATCCTGTGTACAGTACAGAGAAACTGAGGTCTAGGAAAAGTGATACAAAGAAATGATGGATTAAATACATAAACAACTATTAAATAGAGATTTTTTTTTTAGTGAGGTATTGAAGTACTAAAACAGAGGGAAAAGTACTATATTTTTATATGTGCAGGAGCCCTGATGGTGCAGTGGTTAAGTGCTCAGCTGCTAACGGAAAGGTCAGCTGTTCAGCCCACGAGCTGCTCCGCAGGAGAAAGATAAGGCAGCCTGCTTCCATGAAGATTAACAGCCTTGGAGACGCCCTGTGGGGCAGCTCTACTCTGTTTATAGGGTGGCTATGGGTCGGAATCCACCCGACAGCCATGGGTTTGGGTATTTATATGAGCTTGTACCAGGAAACCTTGGCGATATGGCCAGTTTGGTTCCAGAGCACCACCATAAAGTGAGGATAGCAACAAAACAAGTCACGTGGATTTTTATGGTTTCCCAATGTCTATGAGAGTTATGCTTACTCTCGACTGTAGTCTCTTAAGTGTGCAATGGCATTATGACCACATCGGAAATACTGTGACAATGATCAAAATGTGACACAGAGACATGAACTGAGCACATGGCAATGGAGAAATGGTGCCAACAGACTTCTCAACACAGGGTTGTCACCAGCTTCAATTTGTAAAAAGAACTGTAGTAGCTGCGAAGAGCAATCAAGCAACGTGCAACAAAACGAGGTGTACCTGTATATTTATAACACTTCCTGCAAGATTAAACCGTAAATTAAAAACAGTGGTTATATCAGTGGTTAAACTTCTCCATACTAGTTTTGCAACGTATGAGTTTTATTTCAAACTAAAAATTTTTTTTAACAGTCTTGTTTTGGAGAGGGTATGGTCACTGGCTAGATGGGGATAAGGAGGAAGAATGGTTACTGTGATTCTATCCATAGTTTGTTAATTTTAGCTATTTTTAATATATTGCCTATTCAGAAATTATATCGATAACATATCATGTAATAGTCCTTTTTGTGATAGACAACTATTTTCTTAATGTATGTTGTACTAATCCTAGCTCCATGTTGTCGGTAGTGCCATGAGTAGGTTCTGATTCATAATGACCCTGCATAAAACAGAACAAAACACTGTCTGGTCCGGTGCCATCCTAGTAATCCTTGCTCGGTTGACCCCCTTGTTGCAGCCATAGTGTCAATCTGTCTCGTTGAGGGTCTTTCTCTTTTTCGCTGACCCTCCACTTTATCAAAGAAGCTCTGGTGGTGCAGGTCTAAGGCATTTGACTGCTAACCAGAAGGTTGGAGGTTCAAACCCACCAGCCGCTCCATGGAAAGAAGACTGGGCAATCTACTTCCATAAAGATTTATAGCCTTGGAAACCCAATGGGGCTTGCTGAGTTGGAATTGACTCGATGGCAGTGGGTTTGGTTTGGTTTTGGCCACTTTATCAAGTATGATGTTCTTCTCCAGGGACAGGCCCTAACTCCCTAGAACTGTGTAAAAGATTATATACAGAGTTCATTATGAAAAACTAGAGCCCATGTAAGCCATTGTGGTAGCCCTGCTCGCACACATGCCCACAGCTCTTCTAGGGAAGATTATAAAAGGGCCTCAGAGGTGGCCATGTGGGACTCCATGTGACCCCAGCCCACTCCACCTCAGCGTGGCTGGCATGTGTGAGTGGCAGCCTAGGCTGTGGCCCTGTGCATCTTTTCATTCCACGTAATGTACAGAAGAAGCCACTCTGTAGCCAGGGGGGAGTAGAACAAACATGCAGGAAGAAGTAGGGCCAATAAGCAAGCCCACAGGAGAAAGAGACAGGCCATGGCTGCCATCGCCTCAGTGCCAGCAGGTTCCAAGTGCTGCTCGGTCTCAGTCCACATGTGTCCTCATAAAGGACCCACTTTCCCTCAAAGGATCAGAATGACTTTCTGTTCCTGCAACCACATGAGCCTAACACATCCAGTGCCAGGAGTGGGGTTAGCCACAGCGGAAATGGGGTAGACATAGGACTGGTTACAGCATAGCAGTGGGTGGAGGGCGTAGAAGCCCCTTGCCTCAGGATGGAGTGCCAGTAGCCCACGGTGTGCAGAGGGGGAGGAAAAGGGCTTCTAGGCAGAGAGAACAGTGCAGGCAAAGACCTGTGATTTGGAAAGACCTGGCACTTACAGGGTCTGAAAGGGGGAATACAGAAAAGAGGTTTAAAATCCATACAGACGCAGGAGACGTTACCAGGGAAAGGGCAAGGAACAGACCGTGGCAGGTAGCCGAGGCAGTTAATGGAGACACCTGGAGGGAAGGTGTGTACACTCCAGGCTTCCCTGCTCACCAAGCTGCTTTTTATTCCCAAGCACCTTGCAGCTCTGGTGTCAGTGAATGTAGCCCAGGATTCTTGTTCTTAGATTCTTGTCCTTAAAGACCACTCCTCTTTCATGCCACATGCATTCCTAAGACGCTCCCCTGAGCTGGACCAAGTAGTTGGCATAATACAATCTCCATGGCCTGCCATGAAGTCGAGATAGTAAAATTCCTTATTATTACAACCAAGCATTATAGTAAAGGCTTCTCATAAAATTATGAGAAGCTTGTGGTGTGGGACCGAGAGACGCCATATTGCTGACATGGGGAGGCCTTAACATTCCTCTCTGCTCTGAGTGGTGCGGACACAACCTGGGTCATTGTCTTCCCTCATCAAGATAGAAGGGAGGGCCGAGTGCGGAGGGTTGATGCAGTGGGAGGTGATATGAGACACTTCTATGCCTTTTTTTTTTTTTTTTTTTATTGCTCACATCAGATTCATTGTTCATTGTAATGATTTCATTTCCACTGGTGGCAGAAAACTTAATTTTGTTATCAAGACAGTTCCGCCCCTTCCATTTTAAAATGGAGATAGTTAGAATTCTCTCTCTTGCCCTTTTCTTTCCCTGGGTATCCACAGTGTCCTGGCATCAGGGAGAGGCATCTAGCCCTTGATGTTGGCATCTTCTTGATGGATTCCACTGAGGGAGGGGACAGTCCCTGGCTGTCTTCAGCAACAGGCACCCATGCCAGCTACATCCACATTGATGGCACTCCATCCTGAGGCGAGGGGCTTCCACGCCCTCCACCCACTGCTCTGCTGTAACCAGTCCTATGTCTACCCCATTCGCTTCCTCTGCACCTCCAATCCCAAATCACAGGGCCCTTTCTGGTTGGCCCATTCTCAACCAATCTCCATATTCCTTTTGGGTGGTGCCAAAATTTCTTGGGATATTATCCTGTGGTTTTGGAGACTGGGGGCCAGTGGGGACTACCTACTTTAGGCCTCTCTTTCACTTTTTTTTTTTTTTTTAAGGAGCTTTGGTGGTGTCATGAGCACAGTATTTGGCTGTTAACCAGAAGGTCAGTGGTTCAAACCCACCAGCTGCTCCAGGGGAGGAAGATGAGGCAATCTACTTCCATAAAGATTTACAGCCTCAGAAACCCTATGGGGGTTGCTATGAGTTGGAATCAACTTGATGGCAGTGGGTTTTTATTTTTGTGGGGTTTTTTTTTTCACTTTTTAAAAATTAGACGATTATTCAGAGCAGTTTTAAGTTTATAGAAAAATTGCTCAGAAAGTACATGGAATCCGCATTTACTGCCCCCTTGCACACTGTTTCTCCTAATGGCATCATGAATTTCTGTGGTACATCTGTTACAATTGACGAACTGATATTGATGCACTATTTTGAGCTTTAGTTCACTCTTTATGTTTGTGGGTTTTATCTTAAAAAATTATTAGATACTCAAGCTGGTTATTGTTGTTGTTATGTGCCGTCAAGTCGGTTAGAAGTGGCTGGTGGGTTTGAACTGCCAGCCTTCTGGTTAATGGTCAAATGCCTTAGGCACTACGCCACCACTAAAAATACTTGTGACTTTTTAAAACACCATTGTAGCAGCCTGATGAGTGGTGATAGCTGATACCAGGGTGCCTTATTCAGTCTTAGGTGGGACAGGGCTCCATGGAGGATCTGAAACATGTATTGAGTCTTGACGCATTCTGCCTTCTGGGACAAGTACTCTGATAAAGAGCCTAGGCCAGAATGTAACCGAAACCTGCTTCCTTCCTCAAGAAAGTCTTCTTTAAATAAATGAATAAAGTCAGCTGAGCTAATCTGTGTATAACGGTGTGGTTGATTTACCTGACTTACATGCTCTTTATCTCATGGGAGGAGCTCTGGTAACATAGTGCCTAAGGCACTTGACTGCTAACCAGAAGGCTGGTGGTTCAAACCCACCAGCCACTCCTCAGAAAGAAGATGGAGCAATCTACTTCCATAGTGATACTGCCTTGGAAACCCAAGGAGGAGTCACTATGAGTCGGGTCCGACGCGATGGCACATAACAACAACAATGCTCTTTATCTCATGGGAGGAGCTCTGGTGGTGCAGTGGTTAAAGCATCCAGCTGCTAACCAAAAGGTCAGTGGTTCAAACCCACAGCTGCTCCAT